CCGTGCAAACCTCCAGCTGCCGCGCTGCCTCCGCTCCTGGCTCACCAGCGGCCACCCGCCGTGCCAGGAGCCAGGCAGACAGGACTCAGATCCTGGCCTGGGTTCAGGGCCCCCTACCTGTGCACCATGACATTCTAGAGAAGGACCGCCATCTCTGGCCACAATGGTAATGCCTATGACCGGCGAACACTCACCACGGGTGGCACACACGTGACCTCAGCGAATGCCCCCCCATCAGCCCTCCTGGGAGCGTTCCCACTCTACAGGTGAGGAGGCTAAGGCTTAGAGAGGCTGAGACCCCTCCTCGGTGGGGACTGGAGCCACAGGTTGGCCCCTGCAGGGGAGTGGAGGGGGGGCAGTGGTCCTCTACATCGTTAGACCTCACACCAAGCTAGGCAACTCCTGGTGGCACATAGGGCATTAGGGTGAAGGAGGAAGAGGGGGTTCCTCTGCTCTGTTACCCCAGGCCGTATCCCTGCGTGGCCCGTCACCTGGAAACCATGGCCCATCAGCCCCGCAACAGCCTATGACTGAACGCCTGGCTGGAGCGTGCGGCTCTTGATCTCAGGGCCATGAGTTTGAACCCCACGTTGGGTGTAGAGATTGCAACATAAATGAACTTAAAAAAAAAAGTCTCAAAGTAGCCTATGAGACTGAGTGTGTCAGCCAGTCCCTGGACCCCAATTCTTTTCACACCCAGAGAAAGCACAGAGTACAAGCCCATCTTAGGCAACTATTGGGCTAAAAGGCTGTGAGAAAGCGACGAAAGGTGAGCATGGCCAGAGTTTCCTTGGAAAACCCTTGGGACTGCCTGCAGCCTTCAGACTCTGTGGTCTAGTGGCCGCCTCGACCCGCTGCCTGATACACAATGCAGACCACGAGCTATTTCTAAACCACACTGTCGCATGTCAGCCCCACGGACCTTTTTCAAGGTTATTCCTAACTTCCAGGCTTTAAATACCTCTGCTTCTACCTGCCTCCTTCATCAACCTGACGGCTTCTGCCTGTGAGTCATTCATTAGCAATTCGGCAGCCGCTCTTATAGCCCAGAGAGGTCTGAGTCTTGGATAAAATCCATTCTTGCCCACAAAGGGAAGAAAAGAATCCGAACCCTCTGCTTCCCCGCAGGGAGAATATTCCAGCAGAGGGCATCCCGAGCCTGGCATCAGAGGTCACAGGCAGCACAGCCAGGTTCCTGCGAACCTGCATCTGAGGAAAGGGGCAGGAGTGTTACGGGCTGAACTGTGTCCCTCTAAAATTCCTATGTTGAAGGGCTAACCCCGAGGACCTCAGATGCGGCTGTATTTGGAGACAGAGTCTTCAAAGAGGTAATTAAGGTGAAATGAGGTCATGTGGCTGGGCCCTAAGCCAATCTGACTAGCGTCCTTGTACAAACAGATTAGGACACAGACACACAGACCCAGGGACAAACACGTGGGGACGCAGTGAGAAGGCGACTGTCTGCAGGTGAAGGAGAGGGGCCTCAGAGAAAAGCTAACCCTGCTGACAACCTGATGTTGGGCTTTCTTCCGGCCTCTAGAACAAGGCTCACGGCCTTAGAAAGCTGGCTTGGTTCTCCGCGGCTCATGCCAACTGAGCTGAAGGCCTCCGTCTAAATTCTGCCAACTGACCGAAGGGTTTCCATCAGCCACGGACCGGCGGTGATGGTGGCCACCTCTGGGACAATCAGGAGAAATGAGACTCCCAGCGCTGGTTAGGAGAAGAGGCAGGGGGAGATACGGCCCGCCTCTGAGCAGGTCCCTGACAGCCATCCCCAGGAGCCAGCGACAAGGCCTCAGAAACCCAATTAGGTGTCCTTCCACCATGAACTGTTGAGCAGCTATATGCTGTAGGCATCGAGCTGGGCGCTGCCAACATGAATGGAACTCGGGGCCCAGTCAGGGATCAGACGGGTAAACAAGCCATTACCATGTAGTAAGCTATCGTAATAGCGGGCGCCTCATCGAGATACCAGGGCAGGAAAGGGCAGTGAGTGATGAGCCCTGTCGGGAAGGGGGGGATCAGGGAAGGCTTCAAAGAGATGGGATTATCAGCAGGATTTCCCAGATCGAACTGGAAACCAGCAAAGCAGCAGCAAACAAGAGGCTGGGAGAGGCGCTCCAGGCAGAGACGCCAGTAAGGCAGAGCGGCTGAAGAAGGCGTTGGCTCTCAGGCTGTCAGAGAACCGGAAGCGGCGGGACCCTGTGGGTGAAGGCAGGGAACGCGACCACTTGGGCGCCGGGGCCACACAAGCCTCGGGCGCCAGCTGAAGAGCTGGGCCTGCATCCCGCAGGGGTCGGCAAGGTCCTGGGGGGCTGCAGGCTGAGCAAAGTACCAGGTCTGACTTGTGTTTCAGACTGTTCAGACTGCAGGGACGGGGGACCTTGAGTGGAAGGTCAATGCTGACATGCAAGCATAAAATGACAAAGGCCTGAAGTGACACACAGTAGGGCTCCTCTGAAATCTCTTCCTTCCTCAGAGAGGCCCGACTGATTTGCCGATTTGCCACGGAGGTTAGCAGGTTACACCCACCAGCTCTTGGAGATTTGAGCAAATGATCTACTAAGAAGGTGAGAGGGGAAACTGAGGCACCAACACACTGCACAGAAAGTACAGTTTCCCTGGACCTTGCTTTTTTTTAATGTTTTATTATTTGGTTTTGACACAGAGAGAGAGAGAGGGAGACTGAGAAAGAGTGTGAGCAGGGGAGGTGCAGAGACTGAGAGGGAGACACAGAATCCAAAGCAGGCTCCAGGCTCTCAGCTGTCAGCACAGAGCCTGACGCGGGGCTCGAACCCACCAACCGTGAGATCACGACCTGAGCTAAAGTCAAGCGCTTAACCAACTAAGCTACCCAGGTGCCCCTATATCTCATTTTTCTTAAACAGCCAAAATGAGCCACTGACATTACCAAGGTAAGAACAGCCTCGCTAGTGGCACATCGAAGGTTGATTTTATTGTCTACTTGGCCTGTTTCCCACTCAAGCTCCGTCACTGGTTCAAAACCTGATCTTGACACAGAACTAGGCTGCTCTTCCCACTGATCCGTAGGAGAGCAGAACACCCGGGCCATCAGCTGATACTACGGAAGGACTTAAAAGCAGCACCTACGGCAATGACCAGGAATCCAATTTAGAACCTTGAGTTGGACTCTTTCCAGAATGACCCACACCCTTAGTATGTCGACCACCCTCCCTTGTTGGCAAAGGACGTGACCACCCGCTCACTAGGGAGTATCCTGCTTTCAAGCTGAGACTAGGTCACGTTCATTTATATCACTTTCTTCAAAGCATCTTACACAGCGTGTAGGTGCGGATATCAGAGGAGCATTACTGCTTACTAGCTGTGTGACCTCAAGCAAGCTACTTAACCTCTCTGAGGCTGTGTCTTCCTCTGTAAATCCGCAAAGTAACAATGCATTTATCTTAATGAAATTAATATATATATACGCTAATGGCCAGTTATTAAGGGCTTGTGATAGGAAAAAAGGGAGAAGGAGAGGAGTCAGACGGTCCTGGGTTCAAATCTGTGCTCAGCCACCTGCTTGGCTATGTGACCCTGGGCATGCGATTTCACCTCTCTGATTTCACCTCTCTGACTCACGGGTCTCCTCCCCCGTTAAACAGGAATAGGGCCTACCCTACAAAAGGATCTCAGTCAAGATAACAGATAAGAAAGAGCTTAACACTTAGCTTGCTGGCTCCAGGGCATCTAAGAAGTGAGCCTGAAACATCAGAGCCCGGGATTTCTCAGCCCTGAGTGGAGTTTAGGGAAGAATCAGATTGATAGTCTAACCTTCCCGGACCACCCAGCTCTACCGCTGGAGGCGGGGCGAACTTGCCAAGCAAGGAGAGGCCAGGCTATGGGGAGCCGGGTGCCCCACGTACTCTCAGCCACAAGAACACTGCCGTCCTTCATCACTTCCAACGGGAGGCTGTAGAGCTCCCTGCAACCCAACTGCGGTCTCTCTGGACAAAGGAGACGGGAGAGCCAGGCTCGTCTTTCCCTGGACCCAAGCCGTGTTCCCTTATGACCTAGAGGACAGCAGTACCCCTTTGTCCTGGCTCAGGAGCACAGCCAGCGGGCGGGATGGCCATCTGGTAAGAGATCCTTAAGGCACGAGCCCCTGACATCTTAGGACCCTCCACAGAACGCAAGTTTATTTTAAGCTCTCCTGGACACCAGGCCTGAGCACGTGAGGGAAATGGCTCCGGGACAAGGACCAGAAAGCTTTTTAAGGTCTCCCATTCTGCCAGGAACACAATTAAAATGTAAAAAATTTAAAGCTCCCCTCTCTTGGGCTCACTTGATGCTGGGCTCCGGTTTAGAGGAAGACAAAGCAAAAACCCCAAACCCTCAAATCAATGTATCACGACAAATGCTGGCCTCCTCCCTGCTTGTCCTGGGCCACGCAGGGCCTGAGCTCCGGCGTGGAGACGCAGTCAACCCTGCTTTCTCACCAGAGGCTTCAGGCTGGACGGAGGAGGCTGGTGTTGAAATCTGTTTTTCTTTTCTTTTCTTTCCTTTTTTTTTAAAGTAGGCTTCCCGCCCAGCATGGAGCCCGATATGGGGCTTGAACTCACAATCCTGAGAGCAAAACCTGAGCTGAGATCAAGGGTCGGATGCTTAACCAAAGGAGCCATCCAGGCGCCCCTGTTTCTTTTGTTAACAAGGAACGGGGCAGGGAAGCTAGCCACAGAGCCGATTTGCCTGAGGTCCCCAGCAAGCATCCGCAAACAAAGCCAGGATACCTCAAGTGCAAGTACAGTAAGGCACTGGGGGAGGGGAGGCTCCTCCCTGGAAGCATCCCTAAGCTGGGGGTGCAAGATTAGGACCCCACAGTCTCCCAGAACTTTCTGTGTCAGAACTCAGGGGTCAAAAGCAAGGTCAGGCACTGGCGTACACGCATCTACTACCAGACCAGAGACCACAGACCACCGACCCCACAACTCGCCCCCTGAAACAAAAGAGCTGTGCCCCTCCCCCCACCCCAGTCTTACTTCTGCTAGGCAGTTCCTCTTGGCCCAGGCCGTTGGAGGGAGCTAGTGGGGCACCGCCACCCTCGTCCAAGGTCAGGATGAGGGGAACGTCGTCATCTAAACTCACAGCCATGTTCTCTCCTGCAGCCCTCAGGATGCGATGTCCAGAGCTTTAAATAGTCTCTGCTTTGGGCTCTCGTTCAAAGCCACTGGCCCAGAGGTGCTTCTCAGAAACTCCATCAGAGGCATCTTCTAGGTTTGGGGCGGGGGGCGGGTAAAAAGAGAAAAACAATTATTAAAATACAACCACTACTGATGAAAACATTCTGAAATCAGACAGTGGCAATGGCTGCACAACCATGCAAATGTACTAAAAACTACTGAATTGTACCCTTTAAAATGGATTTTTTGGGGCGCCTGAGTGGCTCAGTCAGTTAAGCGTCCGACTTCAGCTCAGGTCACGATCTCACGGTTTGTGGGTTCGAGCCCCGCGTCGGGCTCTGTGCTGACAGCTCAGAGCCTGGAGCCTGTTCCCGATTCTGTGTCTCCCTCTCTCTCTGACCCTCCCCTGCTCATGCTATCTCTCTCTCAGAAGTAAATAAAACATTAATTTAAAAAAAAAAACCTTTAAAAAATAAAATAAAATGGATTTTTTTATGGTATGTGAATTCTATCTCAATAAAGAATATTATAGTAATAGCATTAAAATGTGGAGGGGAACTCTGTAAGAACAAATACTGACAATTTAAGCATAATTCTGTTTGGAGACTGAGAGTATGGCTAATATGTTCCACCTCCATCCCTCTTTACCCTTGTTTATGTGTTTTGTGAGGATTTTAGACTTAAAAAATAACCATTCAAATTATAGTAGTTAATACCCTGTGAGCATTTACTATGTGCCAGGGGCTTTTCTAGCAATTGTTAAGTAAAGCTGATTGAAGCTTCATTAATACTAAGTAGGATTATTTTTTTATTTCTATTTATTTATTTTGAGAGAGAGAGATCAAGCGGGGTAGAGGAGAGAGAATGCCAAGCAGGCTCCCCATTGTCAGTGCAGAGCCGGACGGCGGGCTTGAACTCACAAAGTGTGAGATCATGTCCTGAGCTGAAACCAAGAGGCTTAACCGACTGAGCCACCCAGGGGCCCCTTGTAAGTAGGGTTATTAACTCCTATTACAGAGCAGGAGACTTTAGGCTCAGAGAGATTAAGTAACTTGACCAAGAACCCACAGCTAGAGAGTCAAACTTTGAACCACATAGCCTGGCTCCGGGCCTGTTATCCTAGCTGCTGCCATACAACTTCTCCCAGACCGAGCCTCAGTGTTTACACAGCACGTAGCTTCCTATTGCATAGTGTCAGCGTCCCAGATCACCTGCCCTTGCCCCGATCATTCTTACATAAGCATTATCCTCCTAGATATAGGTGTTTTAGGAGGAAGGAGAGGAGTATTTTTTTTAAATGACCTCCAGAGGCGCACAGCAGATGTGCACGCCCTCATCCTGGACTCCCAATTTAAAACACTCAGAATTAGGCTGTTACGGTTCCTATTTATGTGCATTTCCATTTCCGCTGAGTAGGACCAAAAGCAGACTCAGATCTGACAGCAGACCTTTGAACTTGAAAACAGCAGCAGGTTCCTTCCTCAAACTGAGGCCTTCTGGGCCCAATCAGGTCTGCCTCCAAACTAAACCACTCAAGAGCAAGCCAGCAATTTGCCTCTTTCACTCAGCACCAGAATAACCCTGGGCAAGTTCCTATGCGAGCAGTGAAAGTGAGCACCCTTCTATTTGCTAAGCCTGTAGCTCTCTACCCAGCCAACTTCCTGTGCGACTTTTTTAAGTTTCCCCCAAGTCTGGGGATGAATTTTGCTTTGAAGTCTCAATGGCAGAGAAGAGAGAGGAAATCCCAAATAAGACCCGACCGTTCAGCCGTCTTAAGAAGTGCATGTTTTATTTCTTTTCTTTCTGGTTTGACTTCTCACCGCAGGTATTTTCTAACCTACTCGAAAACAGGGAATATGTAAATGAACTTCCTGGTATCCATCACTCAGCTTTGACAATTACCAACATTTGCTTTCTCTCCTTGCCATTGACTTTGCTGCTGAGAGAATCTATCACCTTTCTCAATTCATCGAGAAGAGGTTTCTAAATTTTTTTTATCACTGTTATCGTAACGGCTAGAGGTTTTTATTTTAACTGTTTCATACTCAACTGTTTGCTTGCAATGCATGCAGTATCTTATTCTGTGGATCTCAACCAGGGTAGTTTGGGCCCCCAGGGGACACCAGTAACTTACGAAGACATATTTGATTATCATAACTAGGGGGTAGGGGGGATAGTAGAGGCCAGGGAGGCCCCTAAACATCCATCCTACAATGCACAGGCAAGACCTGCCACAATATAGAAATATGTGGCTCAAATGTCAATAGAGCTGCCCTTCAGAAATCCTATTTAGCTAATATCCCCATTTCACAGATGAGGAAAACTGGGGCTCAGAAGGGATAACTTAATCTGCCTGTTATAAGCAGGGAAGTGGTAAGAGCCCAGATCTCAACAGCTCAATTTCAGGCTGTCTGAATTTCGGGGGACCCTCCCCACTCAACCATTACCATCTACCGCCTGGCAAGAACCAGGCCCCCAATTTGAATTTCAGCCCATCGTTTTGCAGAGAGGGGAAATTGTGAGGCCCAGCGGCGAGCAGGGACTGACCCAAGGTCACACAGTGCAGGACTCCCGAGTGCTAGCCCAGTGCCCCTTCGGCGGGCTTTGCTTGCCCCTCTAGAGAGGACCCAGGAAGGGTCATCCGTGGGGACAGGTCCCGGAAAAGCGGGCCAGCGGCCATGCCAGACTCAGGCACGAGACTCTGCGGGTGGGGCGCCGGAGGGCGCCAGGGAGCCGAGCAGATGGCGGGGTTGGGTGGGGGGGACAAGGAATGCGGGCTCCGGCTCCACGTGCTCCGGGCCCCGGTCCGGGCCCCGGCGTGGGGGTCGCCCCAGGAAATCGGGAGCGAGGAGAGGGGGCGCCAAGCACCAGCCTGGGCTGGAGGGGAAAAAGCGCGGCGATGACTTCCCCACAGTCACTCCCGGCCCGCCCTGCCCACCTCCCACAGCCCAGAGTTCAGCGCACCCCCTTACTCCCTGCCCTCTGACCCCTGGCCCCTGCCCTCTCCGTCAGGCCATCGCTCGCACCCCTCAGATTCTTACACGCGCCGCCCCAGCAACCCGAACCGCGCGCCGGGGTCCGAACCGCGCGCCGGGGTCCGCACCGCGCAGCCCAGCCCGCCGGCGCCGCCGCCAAAGCCCCGAGCCCGGAGCTGTTGCAGCCGCCGCAGGGGCCGCCACTTCAGCCGCTGCCGCCACGGCAGCTGCGCCAGCTCTCTCCGCCGCCTATCGTCCCTTCAACCCTGCCGGCTCCGCCCCGTTCCCCCCTTTGCCGCGGCCTATTGGCTACCCAGGAGCATGATGAGCTCTGATTGGGTAAGCCTCATGTCCTTCCTCAGTTCTCGCCCGCTGCTGATGCGGGATCCCCTGCCCACCTCCTTGGGAAGAGGAGGGACAAATAATCCCCGCCCCTTTCCCCACCCACCCTCCCCGCCTTACTCGTTCAGCCCAACCCAGAGAGAGTCGCGGTCTTTTCATTGGTGGAGGGTCACAGAGGCGTTACTTCTGATTGGCCAGGCCTCAGGAGGTGGGGCGGACTGAGCGAAACAAGAAATCGAATGGTGAAAAAGAAAGTCAGTCAGACGTCGAGTCCCCGCCTTCAGGGAATTGGCGGGTAACCTAGCAACGCAGGTACAACAGAGGTAACCGAGTTGAGCCACCAGGGCCCTAGGAGCCGGTGAGTGACCCGGTGGGAAGGGCCGGGAATGAGCGGGAGGTGTGGAATGCTATCCTTTGGTGTCTGAGGAATCAGTAGCCCGCACCGCGACGCTGTTCCCCCCTCGCGCCCCACCCCGCCCCAGAACCCTGCTCCCCAGCCCCGGCCTCAGTCCAGACCTCCCTCTCCACTGCCCGGACTACGAGGCATCTTCTGTGTCCTTGCTTCAACCCTGCCCCTCCGCTCACCATCTCCACATCCCCGCTTGCTCACCCTTAATGCGTGGATGATACTAGTCAAGTGGAGTCACATCCTCGTTAACTAATTTCAGGTCAAACATAGGTGATGGGGATGAGAGGTACTTTATAAGTTCTCTGCCATCCCACCCAATGGCCATGCATTCCGGATGAGCATCTCACCTGAGTGTGTTCAGATTAGGTCCTTTTGATTATATCATCGTTTGCCTGTCGCTCTAACAACATAACTTAACTCCCATTCCTGTCCTTAAAATGTGATTTCGTGGTGCATGCTTCATTCAAAGGGTTTGTGGCAAGGATTAAAGAGGTGAGGCAACGAAGAACCTGGCATGGAGCTGAGCAACATAGTAAGTGCTCAGTCAAGAGTGGCAATCATTTTTGTTCCTAAAGCGCATTTGTCCTTGACTCTTTCTGCTTCACACGGGTCAGAGGGAGTCATCTTGTTCCGTACCTCAAATATTCATATATTCAACAAGTATTCACCTAGTGCCTACTGCTGGGCGCTGGGGTAGAGCAAACAACAACAACAACAACAAAAAAAACCTCATACCTCCACTCATGGAGCTTGTCTCATGTGGGAGATGGTCATGAATCTAGTAATATACAAATAAATGTAAAGTTACACCTGTGGAGACCCATTTCTAGAATGGTGGAGCATGGAGGGCACAAATCCTTTCCCCTAAAAGCAACTGTAGCTTTATAAATCCATCAATAAATGGATTTTTTAAAAATACACACAAAGGCATATGAATTCAGCCTGTATGAGGGGTGGAACTCTGATCAATGCTACAAGGTTGGACCTAATGCTAGATGAATACAAGCCAAGCACAAAGGGACAACTATGTAACTTGTACGAGATACTTAGAAGAGACAAATTCATAGAGACAGAAAGAATCGTGGAACGAAATAATGATGCATGCTACGACATGGATGAACCTCAAGGCCATTAGGCGAATTCGGGTCCATTGGCACCCTTGACATTTCAGGATGGTTGATTTTATCTATCTATGTAGAGGGCCATTCTGTGAGGAGCAGGATCCATTTGCTTTATGCCCAGGCTCTACCCACTACATTCCAGTAGCACCCTCTCCCAGTTGTGACAACCAAATATGTCTCCAAATTATTGTCATATGTGTCCTGGAGGCCAGAGTCACCCTGGCTTAAAAACTAATGTGCTGGGGCGTCTGGGTGGCTTAGTCCGTTGAGCGTCCAACTCTTGATTTCAGCTCAGGTCATGAAGCCAGGGTCGTGGGATTGAGTCCCACGTCAGGCTCCGTGCTGAGCATGGAAACTACTTAAGATTCTCTCTCTCTCTCTCTCTCTCTCTCTCTGCCCCTCTCCCCCACTCACTCACTCTCTCTCTCTCTGAAATTAAAAAAAAATCCTGTGCTAAGCACAGAGTCAGATACAAAAGATTACATAGTGTATGATTCCATTTATATGATTTCATGTGTATGATACATCCAGAAAAGTTAACTGTGAGAATAGAAATCGTTTGCAAATTAGCTCATGGGAATTTAGGGAAGGGATAGAAATGTTGTGGTGATGCGGAATAACTTTGAACATTTACCAAAAAAAGTCCTGGAGTGGTACGTTTACAACAGCTACATTTTATGGGATGTAAATTATACCTCAATAGAGCTTTAAAAAAAAAATCACACCCGTGATATGTATGCAGAACAAGTGGAGAGGGTTTCCAGAGATTACAGATTACACTTTCTGTTCCAGTCTAGGGAGAGGTAGCCATTGAGCTGAGCCTTGAGGTTTGAGAAATAGCTAATCTAGGGGTTGGGAATCGGTTTCTGGGAAAAGGAACATCGTGTGTGAAGTTCCTGGTGCTTTGAACACTTTGGAGACAGAAACTGAGGGCAGCAGGGCTCAGAGGCTGGCCAGGGGAGTTGAAGCCGATGAGACGGAATCTCATCAAGGATGAGAAGGGGCTTCATCCTTCTTGCTCTGCATGCCCCCTGTCCCTGCCATGGCTCGAGTCACCATCTGTGACTTAACAGCTCTCACAATTCTGTGTCTTTCTAGGTCTTTCTTAAAATCTACTCCAGGGGCACCTGGGTGGCACGATCAGTTAAGCATCCAACTGTTGGTCTCAGCTCGGGTCATGATTTCACGGTTCGTGAGTTCAAGCCCCACGTCGGGCTCTGCGCTGACAGTGGGAGGCCTGACTGGGATTTGGTCTCCCCTTCTCTCTGCCCCCCACCCCACTTGTGCTCACTCTCTCTCTCTCTTTCTCTCAAAATAAATTTAAATAAATGAAATAATTTTAAAAATAATAATAATAAATAAAATCTACTCCAGATATCAACCACTCCACCACATTTCATAGATGTCCCACCCCGGTGGCTACTAGTCTATGCATATATATAGTGCCTTGGTGTGAATTAGAAAGAGGCGCCCCCTCCAGGCCCCATAGTTGGTAAATGGATAGCAAGTTCTACCATCAGTAAACACGGCGACCCCTCAACGCCTGCTTGTCTTCCAGTGTTCACCCTTGGGGTAAATTCTGAAACAATCCATAAGGCAACCTGAGCCAGGACACTAGATACCATCCCTCGCTTCCTTCCTCCCCTACCCCCAGCCCCCACGTCCAGCCCTTCGTCTCATCCCATTGACTCTGCCCTCCACTGCTTTGTCTCTGGTTGAGGCCCTCCACTTCTGTTCCCTGGACACTGTGACAGCCTTCCAAACCTGATTCTCTCATCTCGTTACACCTGCGAACCCTCTTACCACAATTATCCAGGCAGTAAATCTGGTCTTGTCACTCACTCCCTGCATAAAACTCCTCCCCCAGCCTTTCATGTCTCCTCTTGAGCAATGAGGGAAGATGCTGTGGTTGGATTTTCTAGCCAATCAAATTAGGATGACTTTCTTATTCCCTGGGCCCCCTGTAAGGTAGTCGAGAGGAAGTGAAAATAGAATAATAGCCAAACAACCAGGCTAAGACAACAGAAAGCTAAGTACAGAAAATGGCAGGAAAGGCAAGCTTGCGAAGGCGTGAGGTCTGAGGTCACTGTTCATGCCTCATCTGGAGATACACAAGTTGTTGGTAGAAGGCGAGAATCTGCACCACAGTTTCCTCTCCCAGACTTCACCCTCCACCGAGAAAGCCGCAAACAGCCTTAGATTGGAAGCAGTGGGCGACAGAGTCCCAGCATCAACCTCCCTGCCGGCAGGCTTGACAGGCTGTCCAGGGCATTCCGGACAGAACTGCCCGAGCCCTGAGCAAGGCATCCCTCAGGAACATTCTAGGCACACATGGTCAGATGTAAATGCCGTGGTTTTAGCTTGGGTTCTCAACTCCGTTTACAGAGAAAAAAATGAAAAGGATGTCTCCCCTGGTCAAGTGTTAAATTCCTCCCCCCGCACACACACACCTTTTCCCTAGGAGACAAGAACTCAGAGCAATGAGGCACCACCTGATTTATACTTTAACATACAATAATTATCACTCCCCTTTGAAGAGGGCTTTTAACTCTCAAAAGGGCTTTCCCATCTTGTAAATCAGCGCGCCTCCACCCACTTGCCCTTTGATGTGGTTTGGACAGGTATTGTGTCCCCAGATGCCAGAGAGATAAGGGGCTTGCCCAGACGTATTCCCAGAACTCCAGCAGGGAGAATCATGTGCCTGGGACTCCTAACACTCAGCTTGTGAACCTGATCCTGATTCTGTAACCAATGGCAGCTTTAGACGGCACGGATGTCAGCTTGTCAGAGCTGAGCTAGCCAGGGACCGGCCTTCCTTTGAACCTGGATGGAGTGCTGGACTTAGGGTGGGGAGGCCAGGAGTTTTATACAGGAGCAAGGCCACTGTGGTCTAAGTGATTCTCCCCCAGGGGTATCCTCCGACCCGCCACCCTCACCCTGTGGGGATATTTGGCAATGTCTAGAGACATTTTGTCTCCGACTGGTCAGAACCGGGGTGGGAAAGATGTGTTACTAGCATCAAATGGATAGAGCCTAGGGATGCTCCTAAATAAACATCCTATAACACATAGAATTACCTGACCCCAAATGTCAATAGTGTGGAGCTTAAGAAAGCCTGTCCTGGGGGCGCCTGGGTGGCTCAGTCGGTTATGCAGTTAGGCGTCCCACCTCGGCCCAGGTCATGATCTCACTTCGTGGATTGGAGCCCCGCATGCATCGGGGCTCTGTGCTCACCGCTCAGAGCCCAGAGCCTGCTCAGATTCTCTGTGTCTCTCTCACTGCTCCTCCCTCACTCACACTTTCTCTCTCTCTTTCTCTTTCTCTCTCAAAAATAAACATTAAAAAAAAGAAAGAGAGAAAGAAACCCTATCCCGGACTGATATTTCCATACAAGGCAAATGGTATGTGCACACACGTGCGTACCCCTACCTTTTCCTTCAGGCCTTCTTAGTGGAGCTGAAAGAAATGTGATTGCAAATCAAGATCATTTGAAATCAGGCGAAAGCGTCTCTTTGACCTTAGCTTTCAAATAATAGCAGCAGGCTCTATCTTACAACCAATCAAATGCCTTTAGCATGGCAGCTTTCGAACACAGATTTTTTTTTTAAACCACAAACCAAAGAAACACATTTTCCTTCTCTGCTCAGCGCATGCATGTTAATTACACATGAATACTTAACTACATGCGATGCACTCTAGTATTTTCCATTCCATTTTATTTATTTTTTAAATGTTTTATTTATTTCTGAGAAAGAGAGACAGCATGAGCAGGAGAGGATCAGAGAGAGAGGGAGATGCAGAATCTGAAACAGGCTCCAAGTTCTGAGC